GGCGGCCTCAAAGGGATTTGTAGCCGGCTATGTAGCACTAATACGGGTACGCGAAAACGCAGGAACGGGTGCGAGGATACGACAAAACAAAAAAAGTATGATACGGATACGTGGCCATATTTATAAATATTAAAAATTATGAGGGTGTATTTATAAATATTAAAAGTTACAGGGGTGTATTTATAAATATTAAGTATGATTTTTTTGGGAAAAAATAGATATATATTATCCTCCGACGTCTACTCGATCATTCATGACATTGAAGCATTTTAAAAGTTCAATAGAAATAAGTTCATATTTTATCTCATATACACTAGTGCACCTCGAAATATAAATATAGACAATAAGTCATTAATTTAAAATGAGAAATAAGTCAAACAACTACAATTTTGGAATAAAAGTGCAAGTACTCGAAGTTCTAGTATAATGAAGATAGAAAACAATATTTTAAAAATTCTAATACATATTTCTGTTGGAGCTATTAATTTCCATAGATAATTAGAATTAGGGATAGGAGGATGGGTGAATTAGAAACAGACAAGGTTAAAGTTATATTTAGCTTTTCATTTTGAGTGTAAATTATATTTAGCTTTTCATTATGTAAATTTTGAGTGTTTTTTTTAAAGTTTTTATTGTATATTTTTTTTAAAAGTTGATACTGGTATCTGTCAAGATACGAGTATCCGAAATTTTAAAATAATTACCAAGAAAAATGGAAACTTTTAAAAATTGCAGATACGGCCCGGGAATGTACGGTACGGGTATCCTACAGTATCAGATACGGGGATGACGTGCACTTTGTCGTGAGTGCACTCAAAATAAATTCAATACTAACACTTATACGTAGTATAGGTGAAGTAGAGTTCGTATCCACAGGGAAAGGAATAACTTTCTTTTTTATATAAATAGTAAGTAAAGGGGGGTTTTAATTGTTGAGTGATTAAACACGAAGATGAACGAGTTATATGGGATTTAGTTCAAAGATAAAAGTAACTTGGCATTGCTACTTTCCACTTGTTGATATATTTTAGTCGATCATTGTTATATCTATAGCTTATCTCCTCTCGAATACTCAATCGAGGAGTGTATCCAATTCATCAAGGATAGTTATTAACAACGACCGTTCATTAATAACTCTTACTATTAGTCAAGTATAGAACAACGCCATATACCGACTTGATAGTAGCATTTAATCTTTTAACTCCTTGATGAAATCAATTGAGATTGATAACCTTAACAACAACGGTTTCGGTTTAACCAACAAAATTAATCCCTCTTAAGTTTATTAACCACGACCGTGCATTAATAAACCGAAGTTACTTACTTATGAAACTATCAACGATTAACCATCGGTTCGTTGATCATTTCTAGTAGTAATTAATATATGAAACAAAACTAGTTGATCCTTTAAGTAATGTTCAAAATATTAATATGAAATATGAATAGGAATTAATTAATACTCAAGGAAGAATATTAAAGGAAATGAATCCTACTATAGTTAAATATCAAGATGTTAACTAATTGTCATCTTAGTAACACTCCCCGATATTAACATAGAGGAAGGAATAGCTATTACTAAAACCAATGTCAAGATGTTAACTAATTGTCATCTTAGTAACACTCCCCAACATTGATATAGAAATAGTATTTAAAGGAAGAATTAATATTCAAGGAAAGAAGTTAAGAAAATAACTCACAACTTTAATAATCAACAAGCTTCAAGAGCAATACCAAGAAATGGAAGTTTAGCTCCTCATTTGGAGACTAAACATGCTAAAAGAAATATAGAGAAATTCTATTCTAAACTGAGCTTAAGAGTATAAAGGAATTGGTGATTAAAAGTGAAGGAAAGGAGGTGTATTTATAGGCTCTTTGAGGTGCAGGTCGAGTACTCGATCGAGTATGTACATATACTCGATCGAGTATGTGTAGAACTTCGAATTCGATCCATACTCGATCGATATTCGGGTATAATTTGTAGCTATACCCGATCGAGTATGTCGGTGTACTCGATCGGGTATGACAATAGAACGTGGCCAAATCTTTCCTTGCATGTTCATTTGTTCCCGGATCGGATCCTTGAAAATCAGTATTGGTACTCGATCGAGTATAAGGTATACTTGATCGAGTATAGGTCAAAATCAGGAACTTTCCTTCTTTTTGTCTTGTACTCTTGCACCTTCCTTCACCATTGATCATTTGATTGATCTTGGACCTGTTTAAGCTCAAAATAAACCTAATCTAAACAATTTACAAGAATTTAACAAACTAAACTATTACACCGAAAGTGTGTAATTTCCGAAATATTAAACAACCAAAACTAACTAAAAACGTAAATAAACACACTGAAATTACAAACGTATCAGGGGACGTTTCCGATACGCCGATGCAGCACCCTAGTAAAGTATCTGTGCTTCATAGGTAGCCGGCATTAACATCTTCCTTGGAGAATAAGGGGTTTTACAATGCTTCCGTTTTTATTTGATTTCTAATTTCTATCTTGGAGAGTTATGGTTTTGGCCCGTCTTCTTCTTTGATTAAGAATTTTGTCTTCTTCAAATGAGCGTGAGATAAGTACTTCTCCTGACGACGTCTACAAGTTGTGTATTTCTATCCAGATGTAGCTTTAGACTATTCATTTTTATGTTTGTTTGCAATCATTTAACGCATAGTTAGATATTTGATTGTCAAAAAATATTTTGTATGTAATTTATTTAACATTTTGAATGTACAAAACGATATGAAGGCACTTTCCATTCTAACAACAAATTTTGCCATGTTAATATATGAGAACACCTATATATATTTTGTAATAATATGAGAACTTATATGAATAGAGTAAATTGTCAAACCTAGAATATATCATTAGAAAAATGCAAAATTATGAGAGGAAGGAAGAGAAATCTCTTGAATTATTGAAAAATTATATTAAAACTATATTTATAATAAAAAAATTATATGAAAAGACAGACAAATTAGTCATATATAGTAATTTGAGTTAGAAAACTAACTTTAACATTACTTTTGATTATGATACACTCATGCCGTGAAATCAAGATGTACGTGCTTGATAAAAAGTTAGGGAGTATCTAATAAAACTGATAAACATAAATCATGAGTCACCATTAAAAATGTAAGAAATAGTATGTCTCTAAAAATGTTTTTATTTGATATGATTTCAATCCTAGACTAGTTTAGACCAAACTTTAACAATTAAAAAAATTAGAGAATTACCTAACTAATACTAAAAGATAGCCAACAATCACAACTAGGGCTTTTTATGTGTGTTTGGACAAATATATCCTTGTAACTTTTGAAATATTTAATTCATAATAAAATCGTATAGAATAATAAAAATTAATAATTTTTTTATAAAATAAAAATCACCATTTTTTTAATTTAAAAAAGACGTTAAAAAAAATAGAATGCATTGTCACCTCTGCCACCCCAGCACCACCAGATCTTATCATCAGAGAAAAAAACCAACATGCATTAGTAATGCCATATTTATGGCAATTTCAATGAAAATTTTGTCATTATCAAGAGTAATAATGTCATTTTCTTGGCATTTTTTCACTGATTGGAGTTAGTGATGATGGGAGGTGGTAGAGGTGATGGGAAATGCATCCATTTTTATTATTGTTTTTTAATTTTTTTTATTAATTTTAAAAAATATACACTATGAATCAAAACATTTCATTATGAATTAATACCCTTAGGTGTATTTATTGCACAAAATTAATGTTATGTCCTATCTGTGAATGATTTAGGGCTTTAGTCCTATTTGTATTTTGTTTAGCCAAGTTTTAGTCGTATTTAGGGCAATTACTATTAAAAAATACATGTAGCTGAGTTGGTTGAGTGGTAGAAAAGTTAAAACATTGAACAATGATCGAAACCCATAACGGCTGTGTGGTCGAAACCCACTATAGAGCTTACTGATTCACTTTACTTACATCTTCTCAAATACCTTGCTAGGTCATGATATGATGCTCTTGGAATTGAAAATTCAACCTTTTGGAACAAAGTTAACTGAAGTTGAATTAAAAAAAGTAAAAAACATTGAAAAATGTTTTCGTACACTCGTCTATCTCATACACAAAAAATTGTTTGTGTACATACAATTTTGTATAGTTGTCTGTGGACAAACAATTGTTTATACGTGCGACAGACGGGTGTAGGAAAGGCGTAGACCAAAATGTGTACGTCTAACCAAACTCAAAAACATTACAAGAAAAATTCCTTTTGTACACGTTTTTATACACATCAGTACACCTCCGTGTTTGTGAGAGTTTTTTTTGTCTGTGAATTCCAATTCACAGACAAATACGGCTTGTTTTGTTTGTGGATAATTCTACAGACAAAAGGGGAGAGCTTTTATCTGTGAGCTAACATTCACAAACAAAAAAATCTCTCACAGACACGGAGGTGTACTGGCGTGTATAAGAATATGTACACAAAGAATTTCCCACATAAAGAGGTCAAATAAGTCCTTATATAGAAGATTGTGTCCGGACGTGCCATTTGAGGAGGTTCCCGATGGAATTTTTTTATAAATTTTTTTGGGCATCTTATTCATTAAGTTTAGTTTGCTCATACCAAATTTCAGCTAAAAATTCAATCAGGAAGGCATTCAAATGAATTCTTGAAGATAATTGCGCTTTTGACTATACAATTATCTTCAAGAATTCATTTGAATGCCTTCCCGGTTGAATTTTTATCTGAAATTTGGTATGAGTGAACTAGACTTAATGAATAAGATGTTCAAAAAATTTGATAAAAAAAAATTCCACCGGGAACCATCTCAAATGACACGTCCAAACAAAATCTTCTATATAACAACTTATTTAACCCCTATTATGCAACTTCTTACTAGTTATAAATCCTCACCCAAAAAGAAGAGAGACAAGGTGCATGATAGTACGATTTTGTTGGTCCCACATGCACTTTTGTTTTTGTTTTGTTTCTTTATAAATACCACATCGCGGGGTAGTGCTGCTGTACTCCATTGACAAAAAACAATGAGCAATCCACACGGCGTCGATTATAGTACGGCCACCATTTCCTCCTTCAGAGGTGGAGGTTCTTGGGACCTCGCCGCCGTCAATCCCACCTTCTTTCCCTCTCCCGGTAATTCATCTTCCTCCTCGCCTGTCTACACCATATACGCAGTTATTATTACCGTGGTCCCACGATTGAATTCCTCATTTGACATTTTGAATCAAAATTTATAAATTAATTTTTTCATTGCAATTTATATTGCTCGTATAAATATTATAGATTTTGTGATTCTATTTGTATATATATTTAGAGTCAAACTTCAACTCAAAAAGTGTCAAATTAGGAATTAAAGGTCACTCTAGTGGCTCTAGTCATGATTTGATTACATTGAGCACATATTTGATTACATTGTGTATTGTTGTACAAAACATTTACTCCGTATGTTTTTTTGTACATATTTTTGTGTACATAGACAATTGCAATTAATTACTGAAGTTTTTAGAGAACCATTTGTATAGCCTAATTGGTTGTATAGACAGGCAATTAGGGCGCCTTCAAAAACTTTACAATTGTTTTGTACAACAATATATTTTTGTTTAAATTTGTAATGTATGATCAAATATTGTCGAGTCACTATCTATGATGAGTCAAACCATTTGAGATTGAATTTAACGGTCATCATGAGTCAAACCATTCATTCAAATCACTATGATGAATGGATACCTTTTTTAATTCGTACCTACATTCGTTGAAAACCACGTACACACATACAACTATACAAAAAATATGGACATGCATGTATATTATCAAAGATTTTAAATTAAGAAAAAGAGTTAATGTAAATTTTAAACATATACTGTACGTAGTAATAAATAAATAAATAAATTAATAAATTAATGAGTAAACAATTCATTCGTAGTACGTACAGGAATAGAGAACACGCCGCCGTGTTTCTCGGACATGGACTCGGACGACTTGTCGACAGGGTACCTGGAGGATGCTTTGTTTAACTACAACGCAAAGAGGAGGAAGAAGACGTTTTTACTGTTCGATGATGATGATCAAGGACCCACAGACTTGAATATTCTTTGGGTAACAATTACCTAGCTAGCTTATAGTGTAATTATTATTAATACTAATCTAATTTCGTTCTATATACTTCCTCCGTCCCAAATTGTTTTACAATAAAAGTCAATCTTCCATATCAATAATTAACTCAATTTTTAATAGTTAAAATTCACATATTTAGAAACTATATTAAAATATTTTCAAAGTTGCAAACTCCAAATTAATATAATTAAAAATTGACATCTTAATTAGCAAATAAAATGAAACTGTTTGACCGAGAAATATCACATTTGCAAATCAATTTGGGATGAAGGTAGTATAAACTTTTAGAATTTCTAGAATCATTTGATTGTGTCTATAACAGGATTGACAGATTAATTTGGCATGGATGCACGAAATTCATGTCAAAAGCATTTCGTCATGAATGATTTTGCAAGAAATCATCAATCATCATGCCAAATAATCATTGCCAATCTCATATACTAGTATATATATATATATATATATATATATATATATATATATATATATATATATATATATATATATATTGTAGTGAATTAATTAATAATTATTGATCGAGTTTTTGAGACCGTTTTTTAAAAAAAATGATTCGCCGAATACCGAATTGAAGTTGTCACATTATCACAAACTTGGATGATTGGTTATGTTTGATGCAGAGCTGCCTGGATGATGGCAATATAAAGCTGGATTATTGTTATGAGAATTACGATAACATGAGGGAGATAAGCAAATGTGATCACATTTCAGGTCATTATCACTTGCTAATAATACGTGACCATCAGTTTATATGCATTAATTCATGATCGAACATGAACAAGTTTATATAATATGCATGAACTTAAAGTATTATATATACTTCTTCAATTGCATTTGAAAAGTATTTTGCCCTACTATATCAATTTTTTTCAGAAAAAAATATTGCAGCTTGAGTAGTGTAGAAATTAAAACTAATACTTTTAGGACAAATTAAACTAGACCAATAGACCGCTTGAATATGAAGTCTGTGTTGAGTAAATTTACTTTGAATATATAAAGATATGATTAGGGTTTAATATTATACGAAGTATGTTGAAATCCCTGCCAGCAATGATTAATGTGAATTACAGACAAAAATAACAAATTGAACATTTTTGGAGTGTAGGCAAATATGCTGTTTTTAGAGTTTTGCTTCATGTACATATACCCAATTATACACTGGCTTATACAACTAAGTGTAATTGTCTATGTATTGACAATTAACTTTTTAAAATTACAAACATTTCGCTTTAGTAAAACTAAAGTTCTTATTCGGTTGGTGGCTGGTCAAAACGTAACACTGAAGGGTCTCAATCATACGAATTAAATTAAAGTTTAATTTCACATAACAGCTCCACCATTTTCATCAGCTAGTCTAGTCAGCTCAGTCTAGATCGAACAAATATTCCTTACCTAGCGGCCAAGCTAAGAACATTTACTAAATTATACTACTTCCGTCCCCTTTTAAATGTTCCGTTTTACTATATTGAGATGTCACTATTTAATTGTCTCATACCTTATTTGATAAAGTTTATGTGACTCAAAATCATTCTTACTTTATTCCTACTTTATCAATTAATATCAATCACACAAACTCATTTTTCTTAAAACTCGTGTCACATTCTTCCGGGACATTTAAAAGGGGACGGAGGGAGTACTCCGTAGTACGTACTCTATCCCATTTTATGTGTCTCACTTAAACTTGGTTCAGTTATTAATAAAGTGATTGACAAAGTAAAAGTTATGGTTAAAATTTAAGTATAATAAAGTGAAATAGTGTAAATCATATACTTCGTACAAGTAAATGAGGAAATGAGCACTTATTTTGGGACAACCTAAAAACGAAAGTAGAACAAGTAAAATGGGACAGAGGGAGTATTCCGTACAAGTATTACCAAGTATTAATTACTCACACTAATGATTAGTATAGAATGTACTAGTATTTATTTAGAATTAAAATAATTAGTGATTAGTTGGTAATATATGAAAGACTAGACTTGGATATTACTTTGGGACCGTAATCACCGTCTGGAAGGCCTACCAGAGGCAACACTCTATTTTTAAATTTAAAGAATGGCTTATATTTAACTTTGGTGGAATCTTCCACTTCATTTTTAAAAGTTTAATTAGTTATACAAATAGAATCAAAGCACATGGGTTGCTAATTTTTTTACTAGAGTAGGGTATATTTTAATACCACATTTCTATAAGTATTGATGATAGTTTTATCTTTAATCACTATTTGAATTTCTTTGGTTCTATATTTCACTTAATTTCTGTTTTTAATAGAAGTAATTAAAGCACACTCAGATCACTTTGAGAACTTTTAATAAGTAAAGGTCATGCCAGTTCATATTTACATACTCCGATTAGTTAACTAAAATTTCAAATTAAGTTAAAAAGCAAAAAATAAAAGCAAAAGATACGTTCTTGTATTATACTCCGTACTGAAAAAATATGGCGTCCAGTACGGTGGAACAAAAATTTGGCTTTGGACTACTACGCAGTACGCACATTATATTTGCTGACATCATGTGTTGACTGCATTAGTGCAATAATTGAGACGAAACACACTTCACACAGACTCGCACAGTATATTTTATACCCGTGGACGTAGCTCTGGTAACAAGGGAGTTCCACAAGGGTTAGGTCTCGGGTTCGAATCTCGAGACAGAGTCTCACTATCTATCTGCCAGATTGTGATTATAGTCCAATTTACATCCTTCCATCGTACCGTTCGGTCGGTGTTGGGGGGCCCTCAGAGATGGGGTGCCATCCTTTTTTTTTCGCACAGTATATTTTATTGAAAAAGTAACTATTCGTCGTAGAAAATTCTTCCCAATTTGACTTGACACGCATATCAAGAAAGTGGAATAAAGTGGAAATGCATGGTTGTAGTTATGTAAGAAAAATGTGAAATGAATGTAAACCAGTAAACCACACAAATTGTCCAAAAATGGTAAGTGAGAAGAATTTTTTGGGACGACCAGAAAAGGAAAGTGGGAAGAATTTTATGGGACAGAGGGAGTATATCATTAATAGTGTTTTTCTGGACAAAAATATGACTAGTCGTTGTATACGAGTAATTAGATAAGAGTCATTATAGTGTATTTTGAAATTACAAATCACTGATCGATAATACGTAACTGAGAAATTAGTCACCGAATATGTAACTTTTTTAGAAAATTTTAAAATAATATGGAGTAAAATTTTAAAGTAATATTCATAGGAAAAGGCCTATTTTATTTCATACGGAGTATTACGTATAAAGTAGAATTAAAAGGTTCCATTTTGTGGATTAAAATTGAGGTCCTATTCTTTTACTGTCAAAAAGATATTAAAAGGCCCTATTTGTGAAGAAAAATTACTTTTTCCGCAGCCTATTTTGGAATTTTACATTTGTTTTAATCTTATTTTGGACTATTTCTATTTCAGAATTGCACCTTTTTCATGAAACTCATCAACATCAAAGACAAAAAAAAAAACAAAAAAAAAAAAAATACAGAATTAAAGAGGTAAAGTTTATACTATATACTACTGGTATATACTACGTAGTTATTTACTACAGTTATATACTACTCCGTATAAGACAAAGATTCAATCATTTGAATCATGAGATGATAGTTGTGTCAGTACAAAAAAACATGCTTGTAGTCACAAATTTTAGTCACGGATTCTGTTCGTGACTAGTTTGTTACGGACTAGTCATAGATTAAAAAAAAGATAGTCATGAATTTGTCCGTGACTAGGCCCGTGACTAAGAGTTGCCACGGCTAAAGTCCGTGACTACAATCCTCCGTGATGGATTATATGGACTCCGACCCCCCGGTATGCCGACTACTAGGCCTGGACAGCGGCCCACACACGTTTAGCGGATATCATTAATATTATTGTACATTATTATTATTATTCAGATGTTCTTGATTAGCTTTTTATACTATCAGTCCATTTATGTAACCGTGTCTGTCAGGCCCATATTAGAGGCCCAGGCCCGAATTTTCCCTATATATACTCCTTATAGGAGGCTTGTAACTCATATAACCAATACTCATTCTATACACATTTCCTTCTTCTTCATCATTTCTTCTCCACTTTTGTTCAATCTCTCCTGTTTATACAATATGGGTATCTATTATCCAACAATGGTGCTCTCGTTGAGAGGTTGAACACAATCAAGTGAGAAAACCTCCCCGAAATACAAAAAATCATCCAAATTACCCAAAAATCATTCCGATCACAGAAAATAGGAAAAAACAGTCGGCCAAGAAAAATCCATGGAAGAAAAGAAATCTGCAAATTTCTAGATCTGGAGCATTCTCGACGACATCCAGACTCCAGCAGAACCGACCAACCTCAGTAGTCACGGTGAAATGGAAGGATCTCGTCTAAGCCCAACGGATCTCAGGAAGCAAGCAGGCCTGAGGCAGCCAGGCAACCAGGAGCGTGGATACGGCGGCCGTTAGTCCTCTACCAGCTAACTCCTCGATCTAGCTGGGTGCCGCTCGCCCATCCACCGTGCCAGCAGTCGCTCGATCCTCAACCTCTCCATTAATGGCGGTTCGAAGTTTCTTGAAACCCATGATTTAGAAGCTAGGACCATTTTCTTCATCATCCCTTCCGTCAAGCTGGACGACTGGACGAGGGATTATCAGCAGCAGGTCCCAGCAGCCACCGGTTGGATCTGTTCGCTTGCCGGTTGGATCTTCGGCGAGTTTCTCCGGCAGGTAGCGACGATGGACGGTGTCTCCTCTAGCGAATCGACCCCTCCAGCCAACCTGTGAGTCAAGCGGAAGCGGGCGAAGGTCATACCCTTCTCTAGCAGCCACCGACAGGCGGGCCTGCGAACTTCGTCGCCTCTGTTACCGCGTCGCCGCCCTTCGATGGTCGCTCCAGGGCCGCGCCGGTCGCCTTCGCGTCTCAGCATTCCGGAATAGCAGGAGTTGGACAGTCGAGGCCCCTCTTCATTTTGGTGGCCTGTGATGGGAGGTCCTCCATTCTGGCGTCGGCTAGGCATGAAAAGCCATCTGCGAGCTTCACCACTGAAAAGCAGAAGGATTTGGTCTCTAAATTAATTCAATGGACCCACTAAATTAGTTGAAATATATGGCTTAGAAGGATCTATACGTGGATGCACTCCACTCCTCTCATGGTGGCCGACAAAATATGGAGCAAATAACTAGTTTCAATCAAACTTTGTGGACCAGCAGACAACCTTTAGTCCAGAACCGGTCTAAAAAAAATGTTGGGTCGTGGTCTTTGCAACAGATACAACCCAAGTGGCCCAATATTTCAGCCCATCAAAAGATAAGTACTTTTAAATTTTCATATTATCTATATATATTTAAACCAATATTTTTTGTCGGGATAATGTCACACTATCACGCACTTATGATCAAATACCTAGTAGAGTGTGGCTTGAGACCCATCACTAGGATTTAAAGCCCTGACTCCTCAGGCACAAAGCCCTGTCTCCTCAGGCACAAAGCCCCGACCAAGTCGGGCATGAAGACAAAACCCCGACCAAGTCGGGTACGAAGACCGGTCTTAGTCATTCCTCGAGTGGCGACCGTTGCTTACGAAAGGCTCACACATCCATTCTACTAAGTATTTTATCATTACATTAACAATTCACATCTCCACTTGTTTCAAGTGACGAACTCCCGATCGGGAACATAAATCCCAAGAAATTTTTTTTATATGTATGATAAATGTGTAGGTACGAAGATGACTTTACTCATTTTCACCTCGTCTCCACTCGCCTCAAAGAGTGGGGACTGGGGGACTGAGGGGTCAGAGTTTCTAGATGAGCAGAAAATATCACGCAAGAGCAGGAACGAGAGCTGAGTCAGTTGAAGAGGAGCTGAGCTAGATTGATTATGCCGGAGGGGGCCTACCTTCCTTGTTTTATGTGGGGGGCGCTAGGTGTACTCTTTTTCCCTTTATTAGGATTTTTTCCCGCTGGGTTTTTTCCTAGTAAAGGTTTTTAACGAGGCATCTCCCCATAATGGACAAGGGTGGTGGTCCCCCGTCCGAATAGGAAGAACGTTGCAGATACAGTTTGGACTACTCCCTTTCGCCTCGAGTGCTCTCGACTCAGGGAGTGGGGGACTCCTGATGGATTATATGGACTCCGACCCCCCGGTATGCCGACTACTAGGCCTGGACAGCGGCCCACACACGTTTAGCGGATATCATTAATATTATTGTACATTATTATTATTATTCAGATGTTCTTGATTAGCTTTTTATACTATCAGTCCATTTATGTAACCGTGTCTGTCAGGCCCATATTAGAGGCTCAGGCCCGAATTTTCCCTATATATACTCCTTATAGGAGGCTTGTAACTCATATAACCAATACTCATTCTATACACATTTCCTTCTTCTTCATCATTTCTTCTCCACTTTTGTTCAATCTCTCCTGTTTATACAATATGGGTATCTATTATCCAACACTCCGGTAGCCCCAATTCCGTTTCCGGCGTGATACCAATTATTCCGGCACTTAGTCACGAACAAATTCGTGACCAAGTCCGTGACTAAAAAAATTAATTTTCACCGCTCCGAATTTATTTTGCACCGGTATTTTGTACGGATTAAATCAGTCACAGACAAATCCGTGACTACGTCTGTGACTAAAAAACGAATAATATTATTCCCACGTGCAATTTAATTAGTAGGATTGGCTTTAGTATGAGAGGAGAGTTAGCATATACTCCCTCTGTAACTTAAAAATCATCCCATTTCAAAAGTATGTAGATTAAGAATAGTGAAAGAGTATGAATTATTGAGGGAATGATGGGAAGATAGTAAAATAATGTGATGGAAAGTAGGATAAATCCAAAAAAGTTGTTGTAATAATGTATTATTTTCTGAATTATTGTGGATATGATGAAAAGATTTAGAAATGTGAAATTTTTTGTTACAGAAGAAAAAGAAAAGTTAGAAGATTTTTTTTGTTACGGGGGAGTATGAAAGAAGTACAGAAACTATTCCAAATAAGACTATTTAAAATATAGTCAAAGTACATAAATAAGAGTTGTTATGTTATATTTCCAAAATGGGATTATTTGAGCCTATGAAAACATAAGACTTTGCTAATTAAAAGTGAATGAATCTAATTTTTCTAATAAATAATGATAAATTGAATTTTGATTACAATTTAATCCTATGAATTTTCTAAAAGAATTACTCCCATCTTTTTTACAGATATGAAAAGGAAACCAGATGCAGAAGCCATCTCAGCTTTTGCAGCACACAGCGATTCTTCTTTATCTTCTTCCTCCAAATGCTATAACAATATACAGCCCCCACCTTCCGTGGACTCGCCGTCTTTTTCCGCCGCCGGTAAGTTTCCTGGCCCGTCCCCTTTACCATTTCTGAAGATTTTTTACTGATCGAATCTGCGTGGCCCATCTCCATTTTTTTTTTGTACTTTTTCTCGTTTTGATTTCCTAAACCGGAGACTAACGTTGTGTAACTAATCCGGGCAGGAAGCGACGGAGTTCGGAGACCGAGGAAAAGGGCGACGGCGAAGTTGGTGTACCCGTTCGCGGTGGTGAAGCCGGGAGGGACGGAAGGGGACGTCACGCTGAACGACATCAACGAGAGGATTCTGATGCCGCCGACAAGGCCAGTAAAGCATCCGGTCGGAGACTTTGCTTGCCGACGGCGGAGTTCGCCGGTCGGAACTGGCTTGTCCGGCAAGGCCGTGGTGGCTTTAACTAGAATTCAGACTCGGGGTAGAGGAACGATCACTATTATGAGGACAAGAGGCTAACTAGCTGAAATAAATTTTTTTTTTTGTTTTTTTTTCTTCTAATTTTATACGGAGTACTACGTATCTGAAAGAGAAAGAAAGAATCAAAAAAGAGTGGCCTGAACTGAAATGGTTCCGTTCCTAAGAAAAATATGTGGAACTGTTTGAAAATATGAAATTTTATTAACGGTTCGGTTCTTATAAATTATTTTATGGAACCGATAAGGAACCGGACCATTCGTAACGGTTCAGTTTTTGTCATTTAACGGTTCCCAGTCTTTAAAAAATTTCTTACAAACCACGGTTAAATTTGTGCCAAAAGACCTTCTTAGTTCGGAATTACGATACAAATATGCTGAACATCATTTAAAACATAAATACATAACAAACTGGAAATTTTAGTAAAAAAAAACAAAATAAGTTCATATACTCCCTCCGTCCCGCAAAGAAGTTCCCACTTTCCTTTTTTAGCAGTCCCAAAAAGAAGTTCCCCTTTCCCTAAATGGAAAGTTATCCTACATCAAAACAGTGCCAGACAGTGCAAAACAGTGTCAAACAATGTCTAAACAGTGTCAAACAGTGTCGAAACAGTGTCAAAACAGTAAAACTTACCCCCTGGTAAGATTATTTTCTTAATATGTGTGTAAGTCAAACTGTGAACATCTTTGCGGGACGGATGTAGTAATAAAATAGAAAGCGAATGAAGCTTACCAATGAGAGCTGGTTGTCGAAGCCACAGAGAAGACAAAATAATAAAAATTAATTAGGGTTTTTGCTTAATATGTCGTGAGTGACCTTTCGACCCTCTGGAATTTCAACTTTAATTTGGACCTAATGAGAGATTGAGAGGCATAAGAAGCCCAAGAGAACCGGTTAAAATGAATAATAATTTTAAATACTTTGTTTTTGCAAGTCAATAATTTTAAATATTTAAATAATTAAACTAAAATAGTGAATGTATTATAAAAACAAATAAGTAAATATACATTACAATATACGGATTATATACTAATAAGAAATATATAAAATTTTAATTATTATATATAACGGTTCCTTAACGGTTCTAGGTACATATTTTTTCAAGAACCGAGAACCAAACTGTTAATAAAAAATATGAACCGAACCATCAACAAATAACTAATAAATGTTGGAACCGAATCGGATCATAACGGTTCAGTCCCGTTCTTGGTTCCAGCCCTACTACAACATTCATCAAGTATACGTATACAAGTTAGATATGTTATTATACCAAAAACTTTATGCAGTCTAAATTCTAATGTGATTCCACTATGGAATTTGGAATTTTGCGTGAAATTTCACACATAATTGACCACAAATAATCACAAAACTATTCAATATAAGAATATAATACATGATTATTAAGTAGGGAGATTTACAAAAATAAGACTAATGAAATTCCAAAATAGGACTATTATGTTTTTCTTTACGAAATACGAATAAAATGACAGTATTTACGGTCATCTTTTAGTCATTACTGTCAAATAGTTGCAGTACTGTGCATTCAACATGACAATATTTATTATAATTAATGACAGTATATTTCAATCATGAAAGTAACGATTCTTATTTTGGAAAGAAAAACATAGTCTTATTTTGGAATAATTCCTAAAGTTGTTTACTCTAATTTAGGGCAATTTACCTGTATTAACCATCACGACTCTCATCGTTGACTTAAAAACAATAGGTAGTATATATAATCTTCCAAACAATAGGCCACAGCCCACATGGACATGAGAGTGTTGGTCATCAACTTTTATTGATAGTCATTGCATGAGAAGTCATGTAGTATTGTCATGTTTGACTTTTGGATGAAAGTTCAAGAAAGAATTCATCACGTTTTGAACTTTATTTTGTGCATCATATTTACACACACACACACACACACACACACATATTATATATATATAGTTAGGAAATCTTAATGTGGATATTAAGCTACCAATAAGGTGATAATTTTGACCATGATGCTAGAAAGATACTTTCTTTTTTAGCAAAAATAAAAGTTTTATTAAGGTATAGAAAAGAGTATAACCGCTAATGAAGATAGAAAGTTAAAGAAATAACATAAAGTTATTGAAATAACACACTAATGATTCACACCCTTGATCCCGTTTTTAGCTTGAAGTCGATCGATTCGTCTAAACTTAAGTTGATTAGCCGTTTTATAATTAGGATCACTTAGTCGAGAAAGCGGCTCTTGATCTGAGTCATATCCGGAAGACCTTTCATTTGAAACCGCATTAAAATCCAAATTATCTCCGGAAGATTCTGGACCTAAAACAGCTTGAGTCTGATAGAGCTTGATATCCCGCTCCTTAATCGAGTAAAACCCGACTACATTCTGGAAGGCTAGAATGGTATCCTTGTAAGGTTGCAAATCTGCTTGCAATAAAGCCTCTGGAATAGAATTTTTAGTCTCAAGTACATAAAAATCTTTGATTATAGTCTTGGAATTGCTCCTCCATTCTTGTTTGGTGAGTCTCAAATCTGTTGAAGCAAGTGTGGAGCTCCTCTTGCCTGGTCTCTTACACGTCCATCCGTGTATGCATCCGGTCCATGGACTAGATCAGGTATTCCAAGTTCTGGATTGTATTCCAAGCTTCTCCCATATCGGCATCACCTCCCTCGTGCTCCTCCTCATCCTTGCGGACCCACACGTTGTTGACCATTTTGAATTTGAGGGATACCATAGCATTTCCATCCAGAACTAGTGACCCGGACGTGCATTCAACTTTTTCATTGGTAAGACAAACGCCGAATGTCCTGAAGAAGGTTTTTAAAGAAAGTTTTTATCACCTCTTTTAGTTTTGACGACGCTCCTCATCATGTCCATCATGATGAGAGGGCCCAATGGAATGCCCTGAATCTACTTGAGCCCGCTTCTCACATCCTATTTCGTATACATTTTTCTTAAATATCATCTAAAAACATATAACATTAATAAAAGCCAACCATCCAACATAAAAGTAATACCTGCAGAAATTAAGGTCAGTTGAATACCCAGATAGAATTTGTTAATAGAACAAATACGATGATTTGCAATTAACTGCAAGTTCACTAACCGGACAAATGATTGTATTTTAAACATTTCAAAATTTACGTATTAAACAATCCTATTATGTATACACATTAAATCATCGAAGATCCTTAAAAATTAAATATTTATTTCAAATAATGTGTGCTCAAGTTTTGTCGAGTGTATTTGCTTCCTTGCTATAATTTAACATAGATTCGAGGTAACAGAGTTCACTGAAAGACTATTTATCACATATTTTGAAATTGTTCATGTATAAAAAGTCCTTAAATAACCAAAATAAAAAGTTCATTTTTCTAAAAAAAAAATTGTGTTATTTTTTATACAATTTAACAATGATTATTAATAGAATGTTAGAACTTTAAAAAAATGTTACTTTTAAGTATCAAACAAGAAATAGTGAACAAAATTATCTAAGAGCAAGGGTACACTTCAAAATATTGAACATATATATGTGTGTGCGCATGTGTGTACATAGCTTTTGATTGGATGGAAATAGCACGACTCTACTACTAAATTCATAAGAATGAAACTATTCTTATGAATACCCTTCATAAGAATACCGTTCAAACATGAAGTTGTTATTCCAAGGTTAAGCTCAACTCCTTCGGATTCAAGAATACCGTTTAAGTTTCAAAGAAGGAAATTTCGAGTCATGACCTCTTATGCAATGACTAAAAATAAGAGTCAGGGCCAATCTTTGCCGCATGTTAATCTGTTCTTAAAAAAATCAGTGTTTACGCATGGTTAACTATATGTTGTAGTAAAGGTTTGAAAATATTGATTCGCGGACTCGCGGTGAAGGTGACGAACAAACCGGCCATACTACCAATGTTGTTTACAAGGAAGTGTTTCGAAATGTGTAGATTGTAGAAATCTTATTGTAATATTTTTTTATTTCTACTTATTCCAAAACATACTTACTACAAATGTCTGATTCTTAACTATCTTTTCCTTGAATATATTTTATTATCTATATATATTACGTTTCATCTATTTGCATACATTTATACATGCATTCTCAATATTAATGAATGAGGAAATATAGCTATTACATAATTTATGTCCCCGTGCAATATCCCGTGCATCGCACATGTGAGAATCTAGTAGTAAGTAAAAGAGGGTAAAGAAAGTTTTTATCACCTCTTTTAGTTTTGACGACGCTCCTCATCATGTCCATCATGATGAGAGGGCCCAATGAAATGCCCTGAATCTGCTCGAGCCCGTGAATCATCTTCTACAAAAGGTAAAGGTCCACTCGACGAAGAAGATGGATATCACTGTCTCGAGGCAAGATGTTGAAGTTGAGGAGGTACGCAATAAGTCTCTACCGGGCATTGAGAACACGTGCCTTGAGATCTAGGATAACAAAAAATTGCATTGCTTGTACCTCATCATACGTCGGGTCGCTATTAATCATTTTGGTGTTTATGGCAAAGGGAGTACCCAGGTCATTGATTTGGAGTAGGGTGGCAATCCGGGAGGCACTGAGCGTGATTTTCGCGCCTTTAAACATACTCACAATGTCTCCATATGAGGCTTTCTTGTCTTCAATATTCGCATAGAACTCCTGCACAAGCCACGAGTAGTAGGCTCCGATAAAAGTGAGTATGATGGCCTCTAACAATTACCTCATCTTGTCATTGTGTTGCTCCGTTTTTGTTTCCATTTATTAAACGTTTTCGAAAATATTTAGTGTTTATTTCCAAAGATGTTTCCGGAAATAACTCATGTAACACCGTCCCCAAGTATGTTTACTTTTAAGAAAATAACGTATTGAACCTTATGAAATGATTAATGAATTTACGAAGTCGTAAATTTTTATTATTTCTTTCACGTGAATAGTAAATTGCACGTGGGCCCACACCGAGAGCAAGGGCCACCCGATATTCTCGAGACCATATACTTATATGACGGTGGATATTTTATTTGGACCACAGAAAGACCTAGGGTTGACCGGATGGTCAAATAGGGCCCAATTACCAATATTGGTAATTTATTAGATATCAGTCTGAAATGAATTCCGGAGACTTCTAAATTAAAGTTGAGGAATGTATATTCATTCTAAAAGCCCATAGTGATTAACAACGCGTATTATATTTTATTTGACCCGATAAAATAAAATATAATTAAAACAGTCCGAGAAATACAACTTTCGGGGCCGAATATACAATTCGGGACAAGTTGGGATGACCTCCCACATATGTGGGGGCCACCCCACGTTTTGTGTGCTGAACTAGACAAATGGGAGGCTAGTTTGACAAAGGAAAGAGTGGAGGAGAGTATTTGGCATCTAAGTACCAAGGAAGACCCCTCACCCTCTCTTATTTGCCATTTAAGACAAAAGCAAGCATTCTCTCTCACCCTATCACTATAGTTCCACCAGCACACCCAAATCAAGGATAGAAGCTCTGCAAAATATCCTCACCATTTTTTAGAATAAGCTAAGCAAGAAGGAAGCTCAAGGGAAAAGTTTAAGTTGCTAAAAGTGAAGAAAACTTGAGAAAATTAAGGTAATAACATCATTAACCTTTTCTTCTCTTTTTCTTGAATATCTTATTATTTAAGAATCATATGAAGAACCTTAGAATTGTTCTACATGTTTAGAAGTGTAAAATGAAGGGTTGGAAGATGGTTCTAAGTCCAAGAACAGACTTAGAAGCCAAAATGATCGGCTCGCCGGAAAATAACCTTTTAGATGTTATTTGTATTGATTTAGGTTTTGTGAAGTTAAAACCTTGTTAGAAACTTGTCTAAGGTATTTCTAGAGCTTTCACGAAGTTGAAAGAGTCGTCGGAGTAATCGCCGAAATTAGACAAAGTTCACCAGAGTTTCGCCAGAGTTCAACCGAGAAGGGTAGAATGCGCTAAACCTCATTGAGGTGAGTGGACGGCTTAATGTCTTATAACTTTTGGGTTAATTATGAGATTTTCTAAGTAAATGTTATATGTGTTCATAATGATGTTTAAAATATATTTAAACATGTGATTAGCCAAAATGGTTAGGCTTATATGAAAAGGATTATTTGAATATGCATGAAATAGATATGAGAATTTTTATGAAAATATATGTCATGCTTGAAGGGTAAAGAAAGCATGAAATGAATGTTATTAACTTAATACAACATAGTAATTAAGTTTGATATGGATAAGACACATGAATGTTGTCATGAATGTTGTCCACGGGGTAATCAATACAGATTGATATTAATTACCCATAAATTAATATAGTTGCATGGCTCTGCATGAATTGATTTGTATAGGCCTAATGAATTGATTTAGCCTTTGAATAAATGATTGTGATATAGACCCTATCTAGGTTGATATGTGGTAAATCATAGGAAAAGAAATATAATAATGGAGAACCTAAGTACTAAAGAGTCCTCAAAACTCGGAATATAAATGGTGGAGGATCCTTAGAGACTAATGAGTCCTCAAAACTCGGAAATGTGAAATGGAGTACCCAAGGACTAAATGATCCTCAAAACTCGTAGGTTGGGATTTTAAGTCAAGGACATTGAATATTACTATTTTCTCAAATTAAACGACGACCTACGGGTCGGATATTTCCAAGTGTATATATATACTAATGAGTATTTCATAACTTGGGGGAAAAGAATTATGTGTGTAGGTATCACCCTATGTTTGTGTCTTATACTTGAAACACTAGTTATTCTACATTTAGCCTGCTACTCGCTCGGTACATTTAGCCTGCTACTCGCTCGGTACTAACCCCTTCGAGGGGGGGGGGGGGGGGGGGGGGGCATTTTCAGGTTGACGCTAGGGCTTGCTACCTGCACCTTTCTACGGGTTATATCAACTCAAGGAAGACGTGGTTCGTGCTTCCTTATTTTCTTTCAAACTACCAAACATTTGCTCATGAGTATTTTGCTTGTTACAAACTAATTTTTGGGCTTGCATGCCCATGTTGTTGGCCAGGTGTGGCTTATGATTTACTGTTGAATATTTTCGTTATTCATAGGTTTAAATGTGATGTCATTATGTATGTTTATTACTGAGTATGGATGAATTATTTTATCAAACGCCTTGTATGATTAAGTGAGGTTGACTTGCGAGAGACATCACTTGATCATACGACGGTTGTACACGCGCTTAGATACGGTCTGGGGCGTGACAATTAAGTGGTATCAAAGCCATCTTAGTTCTAAACTATGTAATCAACCTCTGCCAAGAGATTTTACAAAAAGAGTTCTACCGAAAGCCATGAGCATTGTATTTTGACGCATATAGAACTATTGTTACCTAAGTTGCAAGGTCTCCAGTTGTTAAGACGATACCCTTAACAATTGGTATGACAATGATTTGGGCCAATTTGTATCTATAACGTTCTTCCGTTAATTGACATTGGTAGGAATCTTACGACTCATCCAAATTTCTTTTTCAGAAATGGAGGGTAGGCGCATGGCGACGAGGAACAACCCGAGGGGGCAAGCACCGGTAGCATCCATCGGGACTAGCCGGGCTGCATCTCGGGTCTCAAGAGGAGGTCGTGGATGCCATCGGGCTCAAACCGTGAACGATGGCCATGTTAGCTCGGTGTATGAAACCAACACTGAGTACTATGACTCAACGTACGTTCCTGAAACGGAGCATGAGGAGACCCCATATGACGGGGGTGATACGCACACCGACGAGGACAACGATTAGAGTGATGCCCGATTCACCCAAATGGTATCAAAAGAAGAAACCGAGGGGAGACCTTAGGCGCCAAGCAAAAGTACCTCTCAAGGAGGTTCGGGTCAAGGAAGCCGGGGAGCTTCAAGGGCCATTCCAGTAGCGACACAAGGTGAGCAGTGAAGAGGTTTCTGTGTGAGAATCTTCAAGTACCTCAAGAGGCTAGGGCCTTGAGGTGTAGGTCATTTGACGACACCAGCGACATTACCGTTTGCTGCCGATTCGATCAAGAAAGTGAAGGATGCATCGAGAGACATGCAGATTACACCGGACGTGAAGTTGACTATCGCTTCATGGTTACTTGAGGGAATAGCTTCTACGTGGTGGGAAAGCGTAGAAGGAAAATACCGTGAGAATATCTCATGGACAAACTTTGAGCTAGAATTATATGCTCAATATTACTCCGACTATGAAATGAATGCGAAGCAGAGGGAGTACACTACCCTCAAGCAGGACGGTGGTACGATAAAAAAATTGGAGCAGGACTTTAGAACCTTGGCTAGGTTCTTACCGGGGTACGCGGTTAATGAGGATTGCATGACGGGCACTTTTGGGATGCCCAACTCTTAGACATCCATGATTGGGCTACTTACTCTCGTCATATGACTTTCAGTGAGTTGGTGGAGTAAGGCCTTCTTGGGGAAATCTAATGGAATGAGAGGAAAGCATGGGACGCCGAAGAGGCGAAGAGAGGAAATGAAATGGTTCGGGACCGGCCCACCACACCCGGAGGAACAACCATGGTGGTGGTGGTGGTTCTTTCAAAGCGCCGTACCCCCACCAAAGAAGAACAGGGACTCTAGATGGCACTCGTCTTCTTCTCACAAGTCGGGACCGCCTAAGTGTGCCAACTATTCGAAAAACCGCTTTGGGAAATGTAATGCACCCCCGAGGTGCTACCAATGTGGGAACACGGGTCACATGAAGGCCAATGGCCTACAATTAGGGAGAGAAGGAGCTACGGGGGCAGGAGGAGGAACCATCACGGAAAGAAACCGCGCAGGACCGTCAAACAGCGGCACGGGAAGAGGCGGCGCGTCAACAAGCCATGCCGCGCCCGTCAATCAAGGCGGGGCCGACGCCGATGCTGGAGCTAACCAGGACTTCGTTGTGGGTAAATTCTTTAAACTCATAATATTAGTCGTATCGTAAGTTATAAAATTTATATGAATCATAAGTGTACCACCTACGGCCAAACCAGACTCGTGATGAATCAAATGAGAGAAGGAATTTTGCCCTAGGCAAAAACGGCTCGGTTTTGGCCACAAGACGTTCGGCTTTCACGATCAAATTCCTACGGCAGAGAACGCTCGGTTTTGACCCTATTTTTGTCGCTCCAAGTCGTATTTCATATTTTTGCTCACTCGGGAATATTTACCTTTTTTTTGCTTCTATTTTTGTACAGATAAATATGATTACCTATGTAAAACATAAGTAATTATTGTGCTTATCAAATTCCCCTACACTTGAGTGTTGCTAGTTTTCGAGCAATGTCGCCACCTTTGAATGTCTTGGTTAGTTCAACAAAAATATATGCACAAAAAAAATTATTTTCAAGAGAGGTAAAAATGTATATAAACTCTTTTATCATTCTTGGTTCAAAATCATTTTTCTATTAAACACAAAAATATCATTAGATTTAAAAATACTACCATATTCTTGAGAATTGATGAGTGGATTGTGACTAGTGATTTTTGGAAGTGTAGAATAATTACTTTGGTGTATTTGACTTTTCAGTATAGAAATTGATCAGTTGGAATTCTTGGAAGAAACCATGAGTTTTTTTTGTAAACTCATTCGGATTGATCATCAACAAGTATTTACTGAAAGTCATTTTGATGATCCCAATTTATTTGATCAGATATAGGGGTGATTTGTATTTCAAAATGGTTATTGAATATTTGGGATGTATTTAAAACATTTCGGAAGTAAAAGGAGATTGGTGTTGTGTTCCTAGTCACATAAAAAATGATATTTTTATGTGAATAACAAAAAAAACTTTCTCAACCAAATACCCATTAAAAAGAGAAATATCACAATTTTTACCTTCCTAAAATAATTATTTTGCACGCAAAAATTGTTTTAGCTACCCATGAGATGCACCCCCCGCCCCACTTAAGACTTCCAACAACATCCACAATGAAATGTGTTTAGAGAAGTTTATGTCATAAAATAACAAGGAGGACTTAATTTTGTTAATCGGGAGGGGTATCCAAATTGACCGTAGTATTGTTGGGTGAATTGCCCAAACCTTTGGTCGATGCCTTGCAAATGCTCCTCCATCGTTGTTTGGCGTGTGAGGAGCTCCTCTTGCCGGGTCTCATACACATTCATTCGTGTATGCTTGTGATCCATGGAGTCTACGGGATTCTATATTTTGTGTCATGGTCCGTCGTGGCCGGGTTACGGGTTGTGCCTCCCGTATCTCTTCATCAGCACCCTCATTGTCCACGTCCTTGCAGACCCATGCATTACCCACCATTTTGAATTGGAGGGACACCATAGTACTTGCCTTCAAAATTTGGGATCCGGATTTGTACTCCTCCACCTCTTCAATTGTAAGGTCGACGTCGAAACTCCTGAAAATCATGGTGAGTAAAAGAGGATAAATAAAATTTTTATCACTTCTTTTGGTATTGACGACGCCTCTCATGTCCATCATGATGAGGGGAGCCAAAGAAATTCCCTCGAGTTGTCCAAGTCCGTGGATCATTTTGTACAGAAGATAGAGGTCCATCCGCCGAAGTACATGCATGTCGCTAGCTTTTGGCAAGATGTTGAAGCTGAGAAGGCATGCGATTAGTCTCTCTCGGGGTCCAAGAACATGGGCCCTAAGATCTTCATTGAGTCCAAATTCGTTCATTGCATCTATCTCCATGTAAGCAGGGTCGCTTAGCACTACTTGGGAGTTCATTTCAACAGGAGGGCTGACGTTCAGGATTTGAAGCATGTTTCACAATCGGTCTTTGCTCATCGCGATTTTCTTACCCTTGACAATGCTCACGATGTTGCCATACGGGTTAGTTTTCCGCCCAATGTTTGCGTATAATTCCCGCACGAGCCGCGGGTAAAATGCTCCAGTCATAGCATGTTCGAAGCTTCCGAGAGTCGGTAAAGGTTGTTGATCACAGAGTCAACGGTCAAGGTGAGCATGATGGCCCACCCTAGCATGTCAGGAAGCTTTTGATAGCTAGGGTGGGCCATCATGCTCACCTTGACCGGAGCATTTTACCCGCGGCTCATGCGGGAATTATATGCAAACATTGGGGGGGGGGGGAACTAACCCGTATGGCAACATTGTGAGCACTGTCAAGGGTAAGCAGAGCAAAGACCGATTGTGCAACATGAGTCAAATTCCCAACTTACATGGAGATAGATGCAATGAACGAATTTGGACTTAATGAAGATCTTAGGGCCTGTGTTCTTGAACCTCGAGAGAGACTAATCGCATGTTTTCTCAGCTTCAACATCTTGCCACAAGCTAGCGACATGCATGTACTTCGGCGGATGGACCTCTATCTTCTCTAGAAAATGATCCACGAACTTGGACAGCTCGAGGGAATTCCTTTGGCTCCCCTCATCATGATGGACATGAGGGGTGTCGTCAAGACCAAAAGAAGTGATAAAAACTTGGCTAAAGGGTCAAATAGGCCCCTGTACCTATTCAGAATGCTCGATTCGCACCCCGAACTCAATAAAGCTCCAATTCACCCCCTGAACTCGCCAAAAAAGTTCAAATCCCATTTTTGGCAGGTGAGTTTCCGGTCATTGCCACGTCAGCCGGTTAGATGCCAACCGTGCATCCCACGTGGAAATCTAAGGGGTCAAATAGACCCCTGAACCCGACAAAATTGTTCAATTTACCCCCTCAACTGTTAAAACGTGTCCAAATTGTCATTAAAAAATAAAAATAAAAAATCAAAAAATATAAATAATATACAAGTTCATAATATAAAATATGTGAGTCTATTTATAATATGACAATAAATTATTTATATTTTAGGGTAAATTTAAATTTTAAAATATTTATGAGTCTATTTATAATATGACAAAATATTAAAAAAATTAATATTAATTTATAAAAAATGTATGGTTGATTTTTTAAATGGATTTTAAATATCAAAATATTTTTTAATGAATTTGTTTCGTTTTGTTTTATGTGAATTTACTGCAAAAAATAAGGATATCTTTATATTTACAGCAAATTCATATAAAATAAACTAAAAGATATTCATTAAAACTATTTTTAATATTTTTAATATGTTTTAGATTTATATGTAAAATTACACATACATGCATATATGTATATATACTTCATATTATTTTATTCTAGAATCATATACTACGTACTATACTTCATACTAATTACATGCAACATAAAATTTTTGTACTATATAAAAATTATAATATGTAAATAGCTAGGGACTACTACATTTTTATAATATTTATTTAAAAAATAAGTACCTTCATTATGTTTATATATATATATATATTCAATTTCCCCTGAAATATAAAATTGTCTTATTATATTATAAATAGACATCTATGTTTTATATTATGAACTTGTATGGCATTTTATTTTATTTTTTTTCTATTTTTTAATTCATATTTTTAATAGCAATTTGGACACTTTTCAACGGTTGAAGGGGTAAATTGAACAACTTTGTCGGGTTCAGGGGTCTATTTGACCTCTTAGATTTCCACGTGGGATGCACGGTTGGCATCTAACCGGCTGACGTGGCGACGACCGGAACTTTACCTGCAAAAAATGGGATTTGAACTTTTTTGGCGAGTTCAGGGGGTAAATTGGAGCTTTTTTGAGTTCGGGGTGTGAATTGAGCATTTTGAACAGGTACAGGGGCCTATTTGACCCTTTAGCCTAGATAAAACATACTCCGTATTGAATTCGACCGGAACAGGCTATCAGTGCTTATCCAAAATATTGATACCGATTGTTTTGGTAGTGCCGTACAACGTATGTACGTGACGTTATTGTTTGGTAGTAGGGCTGTTAACGAACCGAGCGTTTATCGAACTATTCGAGCTCGAGCTCGATTTCGAACCTAACGAGCCGAGCTTAACGAGCTTCGAACTCGAACTCGAGCTGAGTTTTAAGTTCAAAAAATTAATCGAGCCGAGCTCGAACATAGTAGTTTTCGGCTCGGTTCGAACTCGAGCCTATCGAACACCCTAAAATTTTAAATATAATTTTTATATATGACAAAATTTAAATATAATTAGTATGGTTTTATGAATTTAAATATGATTATTAATGAACCGAATACTTGTCGAACCATTCGAGCACGAGCCTATTAACGAGCATCATCCAAAATTTTAAATTTGGGCATATTTATCGAGCTTATCGAGCGCTCGGTTCGAACATCGAACGTCTATCGAGCCGAACACGAACCTTATTTGTAAAGCTCGCCGAGCTTCGAGCTCGAACTCGAACACCCCTAATTCCTTAACGAGCCGAATTCGAGCTTTGGGTGTTCGGGCTCGGTTCGGCTCGTTAACAGCCCCATTTGGTAGTGTCGTACAGCGTATGTACGTGACGTGATTGTCTACTTGCATTTTGGAATTGGTTTCTTTTTTTCGAATGACTTTCTTTGATGAATATGAAATTGACAAATTACTCACCATATGTATGTGTGCAGTGGCCGAACCAACCTGAGTTCCTTGGAAGGGCACAAATTGGGAAAAGGGATTTTTTTAACAACGCGGGGCGGCTTGCTGCGACTCTCGAATTCCGGTCTCCGTCAAGTAAGTGGCAATGAGAGGAAGTATCGAAGAGGCTACGATGTTGCGTACTATGAGTCGATTGGAAGAGGATGCGTCCACCGTCTAGATCGTTGTGGCTTGATGCGCAAGAAAGGTCTCAGACAGGCGACAAGGTGAGCACCTTTTTATTTTATTTTATTTTTTGTTTTTAAAAGAAGGGTATCTTGATTATTACCCATTTACAAAATATAAAAGCTTTCACTAGCTTGAGAACAATAATAAATATTTGGATGCAATATGATTTTATAATCCACGTTGTACTCCTAATTACTCCTTATAAAAATTTATTCACCCATTTCACCCCACCTAGGGGTGGACCGGGTCCGGTCCGGTTACGGGTCGTGCACTCATGCCCGGGCGGGCTTGGAATTATTTGGGTTGGGCTCGGGACCGGGTGTCTACCGGTACCGGGCCGATTTACTACGTTTTCTTATTATTCCAACCCACATCCCCCAAACCCTACCAAAACACCAGCCCATCCCACGTATTGTAGGCCCAAATCCAAAAAAACACAAAAGAAGACCTTGACCCGGACCCCAATTATCCAACCCCGGAACCGGCCCTAGATCCCCCCCCTTCGGGTCGGGCCTAAGCCCAGTACCGGAACCGGTTCACAGGGTTGGGCCAGTCCCGCACAGTGGCGGGCCGGTCCGGTTCCCGGGCCGGGTAGACCGGCCCCGGGCCATGCTAGTCCCCACTCCACAAAGGTCCAACAAAATTTATCTATGGCTTAATGCACCTAGGAGGTGTTTACTTCACTGCTAAAGTCACAGTTAGGTTAGTAAGACAGGTGAAGTAAACACGCACACTGCTTAAAAAGCCGCTTACTAACCGAAAGAGGTGCTTAAAGTGCCGCTTATTAAGCATACCACCCCCCATGTATTAATTAAGCGACACTTTAAGCTTTTTCAGTTTCCGAATTTACCCCTTGCTCTTAACCTATTGTTATCCCTGCCACACCTCGACCCCAACCCCACCTACCCCGACCCCACCCTACCCTTACCCACCTACCCTGACCCCACCCTACCCCCGACCCCACCCTACCCTACCCTTACCCCCGCCTACCCTACCCCCACCCCCGACCCCACCTACCCTACCCCACCCCCGACCCCCACCCTTCCTACCCCACCCCCTACCCTACCAAACCGACTGCCACCCTACCCTTACCTACCCCGACCCTACCCCTACCTACCCGACCCCCTACCACTACCCCGACCCCACCCTACCCCTACCTTACCTGTCCGACCCCACCCCTACCCTACCCCCCTACCCTACCCCACCTACACTACCCTTACCCCGACCCCACCCCTACCCTTACCCCACCTACCCTACCTCTACCTGACCCCACCTTACCCTACCCTAACCCAACCCAACCCTACCCCATCCTTCCCCTACCCGACCCCACCCTACCACTACCCTACCTACCCAATCCCACCCCTACCCTACTTACCCGACCACACACCTACCCTTACCCCTACCTACCCCACCCCTTACCCACATACCCGACCCCACCCTACCCTATCCGACCCTACCCCTACCCTACCCCTACCCTACCCCCCTACCCCGTCTCAACCCCCACCCTACCTACCCGAACCCACCCTACCACTACCCTACCTACCCAACCCCACCCGGCCACCCCTACCCTACCTACCCGAACCCACCCTACCACTGCCTGACCTCAATCACCCCACCCTATACCCCTTACCCCACCCCTTACCCCACTATACCTAGGGTGGTGGGGTCAGGGTGGGGCCAATGTGATAGAGGCGCTAGGGGCAGGGTAGGTGTGGTGGGGTAGGGGTGGGTTGGGTAGGGTAGGGGTAGGGGTAGGGGCGGGGTTGGGGTAAGGTAGGGTAATGTGGGGTCGGGGTGGGGTCGATGTGGTAAGGGCCTATGGGGTCGGGGGTAGGGTTGCGGTAGGGTGGGGACAGGTTAGGGTGGGGTCGGGTAGGGGTAGGGTCGGGTAGGTAGGGTGGGGTCGGGTAGGTAGGGTAGGGGTAGGGGGTAGGGGCAGGCGGTGGGTGGGGTCGGGGTAAGGTAGGGTGGGTAAGGGGTTAGGGGTATGGGTACACATATTATATTATATACTTGTTTTCATGAATGTTTGTGTGTATATATATGTATAGGGTTATTTTGGACATTTTAATGTTAAGCGGTGTTTTAAACCGTTTGAAGTAAACACGGTCTTACAACATTGTTTATTTTATGCGCCGCTTATTAACACGGGTCAAGTAAACATGTCCTAAGTAGATTTTTTCGCGTGGATGAAACCCTAGAGTGCCGAGTTCGAAGGTAATCGAAAACTCTCTTTAGCTTTCTGTTGAATTGTAGACTTTAATAGATAAATCATATTGAATTCGACGCCGAATCTCGATTCCACAATTTCACTTCCTCCACCGGAACAGGCTATCGGTGCTTATCCAAAATATTGATTCCGATTGTTTTGGTAGTTATGATATGCGCTTTGTATGTATGCGACGTGATTGTCTACTTACTTTTTGGAATTGGTTTCTTTTTTTCGAATGATTTTCTTTGATGAACATGAAACTGGCAAATTGCTCACCATATGTATACTCTGTTTTCGATTAAATAAATGATGCGATGCTTGAAATTATTTGGAATCAAACTGAATGAATTTAACTTTTCAATAACTATCTTCTAGCATTGAGTAATTGAGTAGAAAGCTATCGACTTTACCTTCAAGCAGAGAGGAAAGCACACAAACGAACCTTTTCAGTAAGGAAACAAGAAATGGTGAAGATTTCAGAGGCCTACAACTTAAGATCAAGAACAATCTACAAGTCACACGTCCGGTAAGTTTTTCTTTTTAGTCCAGGGGGTCTGGGGGATAGGGGGACTGGGGTCTCGAGACACCCCACTAGACACTAGACACTAGACACTGTAACCTCGCAAGCTGGAATGCTTGGTTCATCTGGTAAGCTTTCATTTATGTATTTGTGTGGATTGGTAAAGGTGATTAACATCTGCGCTCTTATGCAATCAGGACATCCAAAACCCAAACATGTGGCAGATCTGCTCGGGCAAAGGAATCTGATAGGTAACCACTGATTATGGTTACATGTTTATTTGCTTGGCTATTTGTTTGGTTGGGCATGTGGGCATAAATATAAGCCCGGTGACATGACTAAAATTGGCTGAAAATACTTGGGTTGGGGGGCTGTGTAGGCCTAGGGGGAAACCTGTCAAGTACTCCGGAGGTTATGGTCCGCCATTAATTCAGTGGTCAGCCAAGGATCTAGAAATCATGGATAGACGTGATCGGCGTCTTGCTGAGCTAGCACTTGACTACTACCATAACACATGTAAGGTCAGTGATTTTTTCAGGAAACGTGATTTGACTTTGTTTTTCTTCAATGGAAAAAAGTGGGTAAAATAACGTTTGTTAAAAGAATATAGAGAGAGTGATGATGGTAAGCATTGTGTTTCCCTCCAGGATGGAGTCACCTATGAGGTGGTGGAGGTAATGAGAAGCAACCAATTTGCTCTACCCGACACGGAAAAGTATATAAAGGCTCATACTAACTTCATTGCCAAGCCCAAAAACTCAAATGGACCCTCAATGCTCTTTTTCGTTGAGACATCTTATCCAAATTTAATTGGCAGACGCCTGGATGCCCGTACTACTACTGTTCACGTTTGCTACATGCTTGGCGCTGTTGGTGAAGGTATGTACGTCACCCAAACCCAAACCCTCCCTTGATAGAAGAATTTCTTTGTGTTTTCCCTTGCTTTATTTGCACTCATAAGTAACCCTCCTCGTCATCTTGCTTTTGCTCTGGATATGCTGCATGCAGTTGATACAGGTCTTAATGGCTGCCTCGCCTGTCGTGGAACCCGTGGACCAGCTCTTCATCACCCTCATGATGGAGTCTTTGATATTGGTTATGAACTTATGAGATGTATCGCTTGCGGTAGTTGGTGCATGGGCTGCTATCACGTAGTAGTGATTAATCTTATTTGCCTGATTATCTTTATTTGTAAAACAATCCTTGTCAACCTATTTACTCCACTATCTTCTTAGTTACAATGATAGTCTAGGAGGAAGTCCAAGTAGTTAAGTCCCCATCATCTAACCAAAGTCTGTGAAGTTAAAACATTTCAATGTAGTTGCAAAGAAAAAAACTTCATGTCTAGAAAAAGTTACATATCTTCCCAAATATGTTAACTAGTTTATGTTTGATTATGATATAATCATCATCGGTGGACTTCATTCATTTTGTTTCAGAAGCTTCTTAATTAAATTGCACTTGTGTAGTCGTTCCTCATATGCAGCCTATGTGTCCCTTACGGCGCTTTATTCAGTTTAGTTCGCACAACGACACAACATGTAATGAGCGATGCCATGATGATTTTTTATGAATACACAGATCAACTGTATTTCATGTAGTTGAAAATATTTGTTTTCCTTCAATCACTGAAAAACATTCTAAAATCTAAATTGATAAATTATATAAATCAATTTATTCCAGATTAATCTATGGATAATTGGATATGAAAATTGAGCTCTGAATCGATCATTCGTTTTTTAGTCAAAATTGTTCTAAATATTTTTATTTCTATTTCTAATGTGGTAATTGAATTGAAGTATTGAAGAATCAAACAAAGTGAGTTGTACATAGGCATGGCCTTGGGCCGGTCGGCCAACCAAATGTTTTTTCGAAGATACAATTGTTGAATTTAACAGGCCTTGATATGGTGATGAATGTTATAAGATGATAATCACGTAGGAAGTGTTCCATGCAAATATGAAAAAAAAGAATCTTGCATACTAAAAAAGTGCTCCGCGTAAAAAATCATTGGGAGCCTCTTCGGTGCATTCATATTGCAGGATGTTTTGGTGCATCTTACACTTGGCTGCATATCATTACACGTAAGTTGTTTCACTAAAAGAATAATGAAATTGCACAATGATCTCCGCATCAGAGGTATTTCCATCATTTTAGAAATCTCCTCTGTCGCACATTCGTTCACCTTCCCTGAGTCCTCCAGTTCAGCACCAGTTTCATCCCAGCTCTCAGCTCTCAGCTCTTTCACGTTTCCTTTTCGAGCTCTCACTATCTCACCTCTTTGCATCCATCCAATCCGCATTGTCTCCAGCATCAACAAAACAAACTGGTGCCTGAATTCACCTCGCGAAGACGTCGTCGAGTAAGCTCTATTTTTCTCTATGCTTTTCTCTTTCTCCATAACATACCCTTACATTCATGCCGTAAAAGCAGCTTGGTAAACCACCGCGATTAAAAATCTCTCCGCTCTCGTACAGTTCTCTAGCGCCTACATGCCTCCGAAGGAGCTCTGGTAAACCATTCGTCTCAGGTAAACATAATTTTTTCCTCTCCTTCTGCTCTTTAAATCAACCGCTTTATGATTTTCAATTGTTTAATTTTTTTGTGTGTGTGAATTCTTCTTCTGCTTCTGCTCTTAAAACCACCCTACCCAGGTTAAGTGTTTTAAATTGTTTAAAATTGAACTCAGGTGTTTTGAATTTAGAAAATATTTTAAATTCAAATTTTGTATTTGCTTAGACCTGGCTTAATAAGGTGATGCTATGGTTTAATTGATTTTAGGTTGTAATTGATCTTAAAGTCATCTTTAACGGAAGCGAACAAAAGTGAGATATACGAATGGAAATCATGAAATGATTAAATAATCTTCTATTTATACTCTGTAATTGTCATATTTGTTGGGTAAATCATCATATTTTGACTAATACTATACTAGAATAAATGGATCCCTGGACGATTGAGTTTTGTTTGAGTTTTGTTTAATATGTACTCATATAGCAAATTAACATATTTTATACGAGTATTATCAGACAACGGCTTGTAGATTGGCAGTCACTCATTTCATCCCCAGCGTGCTGAGTCATATAAAATCACGCGTGGAGCCCGATCACGCGTGACATAAAGGTTGTGGGAAGCGATTAAAGTCCGACATAGAAAAAGGGGACTTCACTGAACCGGGCGTGTCATGTTTGCAAAGGTAATGCCCATGATAAACGTAATTGTCCAAAACTAGCAAAAGGTTATAAGTAAGTCTATTTATGTTACATGTGATGTATAATCTTTCATAAACTAAATTAACTGTGACTATTTGTATATTATTGCAGGGAGGTAACAAATGACACAATGGAGGAACAAGTGTAATTGATTATTAGGAGCAAATGTTGTGCGGCGTGGAGAATTGTTTATGTATTTTTAGCTCAAGTGTTTACTACTAGTACATTTCTGGTGTTTTACTTGTAATGGAAATACTTGTATAGGAGTTTTTTCATATTCAGGATTTCACATGTTGAGATTTCACATGTAATGGAAATACTTGTATTGGAGTTTCATAACTTGAGTGTTTATGTAGTTATGTACTGATGGTTTTTAGTATTTGCATTGGAATTTAAGAAGCCTTGATGCATTTCACAATACAAAGAATCTATTCTGATCCCAAGCCAACTGTTTTCAATAACCTCAGGCCTAACAATGGCATTTATCCCAACAAGCATATGTAATAACTGCAAATCGTTCATTGGAGTTTGAATTGTGAGCTGTACGTTCTATTTGTGGGCTGCAGATTCCTCATTTTTAACTCTCTTTTTGGTTTTATTAAAAAAAAAACTCTCCTGGTTTTTCAAATTCCCAGTCCCCAACCTCTTCTGCCAATTGTTCATTTGATGGCTCTCTCTATTGAACAAACTCAAATCAGCCTCCTATCCCAGTAGTTCTATTTTGTTCGTTTTGTGTATGTTTTTGTTTATGTTTTTGCTGAAAACGGCTTATGAGGGTCAAGAGGCATTTGGATTTTCCAGAAAGAATGAGTTCATAAATGGAAAAGTTGCTGCAATTGGCTTTCTACTGCTGCTAGATTTTGAACTTCTTACTGGTGAAGGTCTTCTTGGAGCAACAGGAGTGTTGGACTTCATTTATTCATTCTCTAATTTTCTAAAATGAATTGCCATGTAGTTTAGGGACGCTGTCTCATCTCACACATGCAGCATATCCTATAAGAATTGGGAAGTAATGTAATCTAACAATCTCATCAGAAACAGAAAACGGGGAGCAATTGTGATATGCATGCCATCACTTTTCAACTACAAATGATAGCAAATACTTGTACATTTTTCTTTGTGTTGTAAAAAAAGTTAAATTACCAATAAAAAACTAAATTAGTCACTAGTGAAAAAAGTAATTGGCATTTAATCCCGTATTGCATTACATTTGACTCAACTTCTACTTGTTAAAATGAATACACTAATTCTTTCGTAGTACAACTTTGCCTCATACAAATACAATGATGTTACTTCTAACTTGTTACTAACCACTGAAGAGTGATTGCTATTATAGCAACTACAAAACAATACTTAAAATACCAACGCCCCTTGTTGGTACCGGGCCTTGTTTCCCTCAAATGCATTGGACCACAATGACATGGGCAAAAAAATTCTTCTACAAAGGCATTCCTACAAAATGACATCCCTGATATTATACAAACATCAATAAAACATCCTTGAAATAATTTATACAGCCTCATTCTTCCTTCAATTGCATACTCACTTGGTAATATTAACAATAAAAAAAACAGCCTGTATTTGATTCAAAATTTCAAGAATTCATGAGTAAATTTCTTTTACAAAAATCCCTAACCAGTAAATTTAATACAAAATTCAGAGCACAACTAGTCACTAAGAATTTAAAAACAGTCCTAAAGTAGTAAAGTGTAATAATTAAGAATTTATAATCAGTCCTAAAGTGAAATTACTAAGAATTTAAAATCAGTCCAAACGTGAAGCACTGAATTCAGAGTTTTTTGATTTGGAAATTGACTTCCGTTGAAGATCAATTCAACCAGTTAAAACAATTTAACAACTTACGAAAAGTGAAATAATTATGAATTTAAAATCGGTCCTTTCAAGTCTTAACAAATTCGAAAATTTTAACCAATTGAAATAATAAGTATCGGCTAATATTTAGCTTCCAAGGAGAAGGAATAAGCTCTTGTATTACCTGAATAGGGTGGCTTCTTGATTTGAAAGTCAATTTAAATAGAAGGCACGCCCATACAGAAAGCTCCTTCGCCGGCATGAAGGCCGCAGACCACAAGGAAGAGGCGTGCAGGAGCGGATAGTTTTTTTTTATCTTAGGGCTGAGACAGGTTTGGCGTAAATTGAAGAAGTGTGTTGTGTTTTTAATGAACAGACCATCTCAACCGTTTAAAGAATCGGAGGGCTGTTATTTTTTTGGACGGACAGAAAAGGGGTGCGGACGGACGCATGAGAAAACCCCTCTATACATACATATCTTTATCTTTATCTTTATATTATATAAAGTAGCAAAATTGCTACAATTTTTGGAGGCAAAATTCCCGCCCAAGCGTGGGTACGCGCGTTGCGCGACGGTCAGGCTCAATGCTCGGTAAAGAGAGAAAACTGCACTTAATAAAAAAAACTGTGCAAATATATTGCAAAGTATCCAAAACGCAGTTCAATGTTGATCTTTACAACCGCGTGGTGAAGTAACATTGCAGTTTGAATGTTTGGGTAAAAAAGATGAATCAAAACATCTTACAAACATAGCTAGGACATAGTAGCATCAGAAGTTTGAATGTTTGAGTAAAAAAGATGAAACTAAACCAAATAGAAGCAGTGAAGGCACATCAGCAGTGTGGTGTTAATTCAAGAAGGCCCAGAAGCATCACTGCAGGCACCAGTACGTATTTCAGACATATTGGGTTCGTTTGGCAGCTTCTCGACACCACATGAGGAAATGGTGAGTAGCAGTGCTCTACCACGGCCATGCTTAAAGAAGCAAAGAGTGGAATGCCACTTGAGTTCGTAAATATATTCTGAAAGGGAAAAAAGGAAAACAATGATTACATTAATGCAGTCAAAGAAGCGGCGTAGCTAGAAGGATAAGGCTGTCCCGGTTCCTGAAAGGCCTGAAAGCTAATGCTTGAATCCCAGAACTTTTAAATACTTGAGGCAGTGAATGAGCGAATCAATTGAAGGCCCGGAGGTGCTCCCGTCCTACGCCTCCAACTTGAGAATTAAGTGCGAAAATTGAGTTTTGCATTTGACTTCATCATATCAATCGATATGGATATCAAAGAGACAACAAACATAGCTTTAAGAAGTATCCCCACAACAAGTTGAAAATAATTTGGCACAATAATTAAAAGTTATACCTATGAGATTGGTCTCTAACTCTCTACAACCAAAAATCTCTCTGATCCCAATTTCAGCAGGTAGGTGGCTTTTTAGGCAAAAGTTGACCACGTTCAAGACACTCCGCAAATTAAGCTGCAAAACAACAACATTTAATTAGTCCAGAAGTTTAGTGTACATACATCTTGCAGTTTGAAGTAGCAATGACTAATTTTGATGAAGTAGCTTTAAGCATGACAACAGCTAAATTCTAGTTCCCGAAGGAAGAGAAGGAAGATGCTCATCTCTTCCGCCCAACACCATAATATTCCTCCCTAAAAGAAAGTGTTCATAAACATTTTTATTAATTATAAGAATAAAGGAAAAGATTGCACTTTTATTAATTATAACTTAATTATATATTTAAATTTAGGTTGGAAATATTATTAGGTGTGGACCAATTGTCCTCAGTGCCCTTTCTGTTCATACATATTCAGGAATCATTGCATCCAGTGTTTACAAAGGACAACATTTCCACCATGCAAAAAGGAGAGATATTAGATGTTGGTAGAACCTGCCACAGAAGTAAAAAAAATAGTGACGAACCTATATCCAACACAAATCCCACTTACCCACATACAGAAAGCCAAGTCCACAACTTCAAAGCGTAGAAATATCCTACGCCCTGTAAAAGTAGCATCAGTCTACGCCAGTTATTTACTTTATTAGAGACATTGAGAAAGTGTGAGTTGTTGCATTTGCTATTTCAGACTTCTCTATATATTATTGATAATTATTGGTAAGGATTAACACTTATGAGTGGCAGTGCATCTGCTTATGTTACAAGTTACACATATTTTATTAAAAGTTATGAATGTTCTATTAAAAGTTATATTTTGTATTCCACAATTTCTTTTAAACCACACTGTTTTGATTATACTCATTTCTTTTTTCATTTTAGTTTTCACTCTAAAGATTCAATGTTTTAAAATATAGAGATATGGTAGCTAGTGAGTCCTGTGTATGATTGACCCAATGAGCAACTTTTAGCATAAATTATACTACTTTAATGACATATAACTTAACTAATAACATAAAAACAAAACACACAAATGATCAAGCACTTGCTTGTAGGAACAATACAACTTCTAACCTTAAAAATATAACTTCTAATATAACATTATTAAATTCAACAGATTCAACAATTTTCTTAAATTCGATGCTATTGTCTTTCCTTATATTATATAGACTAATTATGTGACGCGCGTTGCACGACCCAAAATGCCCAATAATATTTGTATAACATATTTGTACAACTACGCACGCCAAAACTGTGATATGTTCGTGCTTCCTCGTGAAACACACTAAATAAATTTTACGTGTTGGGATACAAATTAGAAAAAATAAATGTTGATCTAAGATATATATATATAATGTAGTTACGTTGTCTAATGACCTGGAGTAATAATACAAAACACAATGAAAAAATTAAAAGCATAGTAGTGTGAGCCAGGGACGGAGTCAGGGCAGATACTTCGTACAAAAAATAATTTTGAAAAAATATTTACACGGAATTTTATACATTAGAAACCTTTACTAAGTTCAATAAATTAGAGTTCACCAATTTGTTCACCAAACACCGAAACACGTAACATTAGAGTTCACCAATTTGTTAATCATTTTTTCCAATAAACAAAAGATGGGAAAAAGGTCATATAGGCTCTCGAACTTACATGAAAATGTCAAATAAACCCTTCTGGAGGCTTTGTCCGACCGTCACCATTTGGGGCGGTTCCCAGTGGAGCTTTTTGATGATTTTTTTTGAGAATCTTATTTATTAAGTTTAGTTTTACTCGTACCAAACTGCAGCTAAAATTTCAATCGAGAAAGCATTCAAATGAGTTTTTCAAGGTAAGTGTGTAGTACATTCAAACGAAACAACCTAATTGTGAACTCTAAATGTTAAACTATTGAACTATGGTGTCTAAGAAGAGTAGAGGAAATCGAAACGTCTCTATTACTATGTGAAGGAATGAAGAAGAGTAGAGGAAATCGAATGAAGGTTAAAAGGATACGTAGTACTCCGTATCAGCGAAGCTTCCTTAAATCGTTGTCCATAATTAAAGAACTAAAATTATCATTTCTCTCTTCAAAGACCTCAATAATTTAAGAAGTTGTTGATAATGTCTTCGTCTTTTTGGTTCTTCATAATAATTCATTAATTCCTATGCAATTCCGTGGGGAACTGAAAAGTCAGAGCAAAGAAAATGAATAGGTGAAGACCAAAGCTGAGTGTAATTTTGTTCACCCCTCTAAGGAGGGTGAACATCACCCTCTTCCCTAATTTGTTGCCATGTGACTTTCCATCCTCTTATTTCTCTATATTAATTTAACTTTTTATTTATTGTCCAAATTTCATAAAAAAATATATCAGATTTAATAACTTTTAAGATCTTTCCAATGATATCAATATTGTATAAAAAAAGTTGGACGAAAAAAATCGTTTTTTATAAATATTCGTCTCTAGATGGATATTTTCTTAAATTTTTTATTTTGAATATTGATACCATATGAAAGGTCTTAAATACAAAAATTAATACGGAGTATGTTTTCAAAAAAAAAGTGGATTAAAAAATTAAAAAGTTAAAACAATTGCTAAATAGTTAAGAATTGCCTTGCCACATGGCAAGCAATTAGGATGGGTGAACATGACCCTCTTTTTTGATTTTGTGAGGGTGAACAAAATTGTTCTCACCAAAGCTGGCCAAACACATTTGAACAACATTCTTTTAATGGATATGGGAGGTTCATTTATTCGAGTCTTTAATTTCTATTTATATTGAAATAAGTCAACTGCCCATGAGGAGTTAGCAGGCTGCATGCCCGGCTTGGCCCATTCTCACTTTTAAAACTCACTTCTTCATTACTGGATTAGGGACACGGAAGTTTTCAATCATAGATTCTGTCAAATCTATATATATATTAAACCGCTTAAGTCACGTTCCCGCCTACTGACTAGGGATAGTTTCGTAAATATGGAAACCCTCCTATTCTCCTAAAATAAAGCTCGCTTATTAGGGCCTCTCTAATTCATCTCACATAATCCTCCCCACTTCAGACTTCTCCTTCAAGTTGGAGTCTAGATCGATTGAAGCTCGCTTATCTTCCAACGAACTCAGATTTATCCGATCAACTCCAGAGAGTCCATCAACACCAGACTTCTCAATATCGGTAACTATCATCTCTCAAATCTAACTATATATATCTATCTATCACACCCTAAAAAAATCATCTTCAATTCACTTTCGTTTCCCACTTACTGAATCGATCTCCAATGGCTCCGAATCCCCCTTCCCCCTTCAAAGTCCTTTTGAAGGATGTTACTACGCAGCTGGACGACAAGGGTGTGCTGTTGCTGAGAGTCGTACATAAGTGGATCGTTCCTGACAAGGGAAATTCCTCTGAACCTTACATAATTGACATGGTTCTCATGGATGAGGAGGTAAAATTCTTTTTAATTACTCATTTTTTAGTGTACCTTACATTTGCTTTGGTGCTTTTCTCCGATTTCTGCAATTGCCACTACCAGTGCTATTTCATTGTATATAAAAATATGTTCTGCCTATGTGATGTTCTATAAAATGCTAAGCTCATTGTATTTGTTTTAAATCTACATTAGACGTTATTTTATGGAGCTAACACTACCAGTGGTATTTCATTGTAGTGGTATTTCATTGTATATAAAAATCTGCTCTGACTATTGCTTTCTTGTGGGACTTCTGTAAACTATAATGAAGACATATTTGCATCAAATAGAAGGAATTTCTGGAAGACACTTCATTAACTACTTTATTCTTTAAATGGTTGTTATACAATTTATTGATAATCTAAGTATTGTATTCATTTTGAATGCTATTAGAGTATTAGATACAGTCTGTCAAATTTCCTTTGATTCTTATTAGTTAATATTCTAGAAAGAATAAGCCTTTTAAATCAGACTTCAGAATGATCTGTCAAATTTCACTCACAATGTAAGAATCTGCTATGTTAATGAACACATAATGTAAATGCCTATGTTAATAATCTGCTATATTGAGGCCTGTGTTAAGGGATAAAAAGGATCGGTTGAAAAAGTTTAGTTAATAAACTTTGTCATTCATTTATTTATGTCCTTTAATTGTTTTTATTTTTAATGATCATTCAGGGAACACGCATACAAGCAACGGTTGAAAATGCGCATGTTTCTAATTTTAAGGACAAAATTAAGGAGCATGGCCTTTATGGAATGATGCGATTTGAGGTAAGGGCTAATAACGGTGATTACAGGCCTACTTCACATCCTTTCAGGCTATATTTCAAGGAGAACACAAAGATCAAGGAGCGTGATCTTTCAAAAGAGACGGAATTCCCAAGAGATTTGTACTCACTAAAAAGTTTCAGCGAGATTACAAATACTCATAAGAGAGCTGGAGATGACTTATTCGGTAATAACTCATAACCTTGCATCCCTTTTTAAAGACTTTTTGCTTGCTAAACTCAACTTTTTCTTTCTTCGGTTTTTACAGATACAATTGGAAAGTTTAAGCATGACAACATCAAATATTCCTTGCAATCAGATGGATTGCCACGAGCAGCAGAATTCATACTCGAAGATCTGGAGTATAAAATCACATAATAACAATCTTTTAGAAGTAATTATTTAATAACAGTACGCATTTACATGAGTTGCTGAATATTGCGTTTGTTGTATCCATATTTTATATCAACAGTAAAAAGCAGATGTCGTGTACACTTTGGGGTGAGCATGCGCAGGCTTTGAGGAATATTCCCATAACTTCGGCTGAACCACACATCATGCTGCTCCAATTGTGTAGAGCAAAGACTGACTATGGTAAAACATTTATTAATTGATGTAATATAGTTATTCATGTATTCCTGTATACTTGATAGAGATAACACATTTAATGTAATAGGTGCGGTCGTTCTTGCAAGCTCCTTTTACTGTACAAAGGTTATAGTAGATGAGAGTATCCCTGAAATTGAGGAGTTCCGTACCAAGTAAGATGCTTCTTCCCTTAATTTGATTTAATATTGATTGGTAGTACTAATTGCATTCATAAAGTCAGTTTGTAATTAAAATGTTTATACGATCTAGATTACTGTCAAAAATATACCAATACTTAGAATATTAAAAAGGAAAATGACATGTAGAAATCAGTTTCATATATTATAAACATTTGAATCTAAATCTATATACTTTTATTATACACTCATTGTTAGTTACTTCTTGATATCTAACTATTTACCTTTAAGGTTGGTAGCCAGCTCCCAGTCTTCGTCATCCGCAAACTCCACCGGGTTTTTTATAGATCCTGCATTAGTTAAGCCAGTGGCTGAACTGCTTTCAATTTCTAAGGTTAAGCTATTTGAATTTTAAATTTACTCATGTTTTGCGATTACTATATACTTCGTTTAAAACATATTTATATTGTCAACATTATGTAGAGGTCTCGGTGCTGGATTTTTGGGAAAATCACAAATATTCTCAATCGAAGAACTTGGTCCTATCAAGGGTGTGTGAAAGAGGCTTGCTCTAAAAAGGCCTCTAATCACAGCGACAAGTTTAAGTGTACTAAATGCCATCAAGTGTTCGACCAGGGAATACATCGATATAAGATTAATGTTATCGTGAAGGATTCTTCAGGCTCGGTTACGTTGTGTCTGTGGGATCACGAGTGTCGTCAGTTGTTGCACAAAACTGCTGGACAACTCAGAGAACAATTGAATCTGGTATGATAAAGAGTAATAATTGTCTTAAATAATTCTCTAATAAAAATATGTTAAATATGTATTTAAATAAATAATAAATTTTATGTTTTTGATATCTCAGAGTGGCATTCATGAGACAGCGACGTCAAAAGAAATTGACGATTTAGTGGGTCTGCATCTTTTGTTTAGGGTTGATATAAGCGAGGAAGATTTAAAAAAAAGTGACAAGGTTTTCTCCGTGAACTGTCTCACACAAAATGATGAGCTTATGAACCATTTTCTGGCAAGAGCAAATGATGAACAACCAGTGGTATGTGAATGAATCGATTTGTATTTAATTTTGTTCATGTAAACCTTTTCACTTTTAATGCCTAACATTTTTTTGCCAAATTGAATTCTCTAGGAACTGGACTCTGATGATGATTTGGAAATTTTTTTCAGTCAGCCAGGAACGACTTCATCAAGTGTGAGTAACACTATAAATAATTTAAGTAATGCATTTTGAGTTGAATATTGTATAAGTTTCATTTTGACATTTGTGAACATATCACCATCTTTCCATTTAAAAACTGAAACGTAGCATTCATAATATTTAATTAATTTCATATCTATAGACTATTCATGACCATATTTAAATGTTAAGAATGAAATACATACAAATAATTTATGTTATCATTGCATTTCAGACTATTGATGATACCATGACTACTACCCCAATTTCGAAGCGACGTTTGTCAGATGATGTGGAAGGATGTGATGGAGGATCTTCTACTCAAAACTCCACTAGCAAACTGCAGAAGACTATTAAGGTTGAAAAACCATAAGTCTTTGGAGATGGGCGTTTGAGGTGGAAGTTAAAGACAGTATCTTTACCATTTAAATAATAGTCTCTTCAGTAGACAATTAATTACTGCGCAATAGTCTCTTCAGTAGACATTTAATTACTGCACAATTGTTCATGTATTTTGTCCAGAGAGGATGTTCTGTAGTTGGTTTGGTTTTTTATTACTTAATGTTAGATACGATGCTGGAAGTTACAATTGCAATAGTTTATGCACACCTTGGATTATACACAACAAAATATGCATATATTTTTTTGGATAATAAATAGTTCCTTGGTCTACCCAGTGAGTCAGTGACTAACATCAATGTGAGGGTCTTCCATGGATTTGAAATGGTTTTGCTGTTTGCCATTTTATTTTTTAGTTTACTTAGGTGGAGAACTTGCAGGTTGGTGGTGTATGTAAACAAAAGCTACATTAGATTCTATAGTTATTTTTACTTTCTACAGGTTTACTCATATTTTTAATGTTGAAGTTTCTTAGTGATAGTTGATAGGTTTACTTTGCACCAGAAGGTAGAAAACTGAGGTTTATGTTTGATAAGTTGATAGTCCAACAGGAAGTAGAACATAGTTTCGAGATCTGTGATTAGTTTAGCAGTAATTCATGCATAGATTAGTCTTCTGTGACATTACTCTTTCATTGTTGCTAAACTGTTATTGTACTACAAATGAGGCAATGCTCTTTTCATCTACTGAACTGCTGAGAAGATATGGTTGTGAAAATTGCATTGTTTTTTCTAAATTATGCTTCTGAATGTTAATTTTTCTGATCTCTATTAAACTTTAATTTTGGGGAAACAGTTAGAAAATATTCCTATTGATGACATTAAGAAAGAGCTTAAATCAGCTGAGATGTCTGATGTGGCAATTGCAGAGCTATTGCAAGTGCTCAGTGTGAATTCTTTAGAGAAGTTGGAAGGTTTAAAATATGAATGTCACCAACCTGCAAGTTTGAATGGCTCCTGATTTTGTTATCTTGACCTTTTTGGTTTAAAATATGAATTCTTCTTTTGAAGTTTATATGGTGTCAGTCTCTTAGGTTGCACCGAGCACGTGCTCACTTACTAACATTTTTATAGCTATTGGGACTTGGGAGGGGACTATTGTTTATTGCATATCACCAATATAGAAACCAACATCAAATTCTCAAAAAAAAAAAAACCAACATCAATGTTCCAGGTTATGTAGACACAATTCTCTCAAAAAAAACTAGCATTTGCAAATAGCTTTTTTTTCAAGGCGAAAGTTACAATATTTTGAAAATCCGTACATATTTCTTAGACCTAGCTCATTTGCCCAGTACACAGCACGTTTAACCAACTGCAAGACAAAAGCACCCCCAAAAAATACTCATGTAAATGAGCCTATAAAAATGCAATTTCACTAGACCACAAATATATGAAGAAGTTTAAAAGAAAAGGCTAAATTTGCTTTACTTTTGGACAAATTTGAAATCCCAGATAAATCTTGGAATCAGGATATTGCTTAGCAAGATACAACAGAAATTTGCCACCACCTGCACAGAATTGTTGTTAGACTCTAACTAAACAACAAAAGTATGACATAGGGCTTAAATAGGAATATGATTGCTATCATAAAAATAAATGTTTGCAATTTTGAAAAAGGAATAAATGCTAAGTACTACTGTTATGCAATGATGATCATGACAATAAATACCTGTAACTTAGAAAAATACAGTAACATGCAAGAGGGCCATTGCACATAATACACAAAGAACAAGCATTGTGGCATGTAAATTATCCCTCTTACCACAGCATATATCCACCATAAGCGGCAACAATGAATCCCTGTATACTTCACTCCAATTTGACATTTCGATAGGAGCCTTCTCAAAACAATATGCATTTAACGAAAATAAGCATTTTCAAATAAGAACTTAAACATCATATACTAAAACTAATATATTTTTAACATCAAAGTCATAATGACCTCATTGTATTAAGATGTTGATTAATATTACGGAGTATTGTAATTTAAAAAAGTACCTTTAGAGAAGTAATACATTTTATACTTTTATGAAAGTATTTTTTATAAAGAACATTTTAATATTATTTTTGTATTATAAATAATTTCCTATAGATTAGCAGGGGCAGAGACACTAAGCCGACTGGGCCAATACAAATAATTTTTATGGAAAAAAATTTATACGTAATTTTTACACTAAAAATTTAGACATTTTTAAAATTTGGGCTGGGACAGGGGCAGGGTTGGCCCTCCCCTAGCTCCGCCCCTGTAGATAAGTATTGTTAGTCAAAGTTCAATATGGTTAGATTCGAAAAAAATGTTTAACTGCCATTTTTTTTATTTCCAAAATAGGAATAATTACTGCCAAATTTGGAAAATATTACCATTTTTAACTCCATGACAATAATTAATCCTATTTTGGAAATAAAAACATGGCAGTCCTATTTTGGAATTTTGAAACTTTTTTACTCCTATTTCAGTTAATATTGTCTTTTATTTATCGAGCAATGATCCTATTAGGCTGGTCTGACGGGACCCACCATTTCAGGTCAAGACCATTCGGGGAGATATCCGGTAGATTTTTTTTTATGAAATGTTGTGAGTATGTTTTACATCAAATTAAATAAATTATTAATACAATTTGTGATCTATGTATATTTATAAACATAAATAATGCGAAAGGGAAATTATTAAACGGCTGGAGTCCGGGCAATTCAAATAAGTCTTAAACATTCCAGTATAGCATGGACTGATAAGTCTAAAACATTCCAGTATAGCATGGACTCTATGAAAGACTCCTTCCTGCGTATGAGCAGCAGAGTCATAATCTATCATCCCGACGGCCAGCCATGTTGAGAAACACCACGCCATATCTCTATCCACATCGAGAAGGATTTTCTTTCGTTTGATTCCCCTGCCTCTCGGCTGCAGGTCTAGCCAAAGTTCCTGCAAGAGATCCCTTTTAAGCATAAATCCTGTTAGATTAGACCTGGAAGGCTTAGAGTAGGCGTAGTGTGGCACTTGCACTCTGCTTGAATCGA